ACAAATTAATTTATGGGGGAAGGGGGATCGTGACTTATACTAGGTATCATACAAAATTCTCTGTTTAAATCTATACATTTATGATTTTATTTTTATCATCATGAACACACACATACAATTTATAAAAACTAGGGTTTTATTCTAATATTTTAACGCAACACTTAATATAATTAATATATTTATGTAGCAGAATGTATTTTAACATACTTATGAACTAAACGGCGCTAATGCCGTCTAGTAAAGAATTAGTGCTTCCTAGTAGTTTGTGGACGTGCTATGAACCTAGGCTGCGGCTAATTCTTTTACTAACTAAAAATGATATATTGAATAATAGATATCGACAAATATTTATAATATACGTGTTTATTATTTATGACTTCCCGGTTATTCTTGAATGAAAAATAATATAACAAACTATACTATAACCGTGAAAATTGATTCCAATGATATTTAGCTCTCCGGTAGATTTTCACTAGCAAAATTATACCCTCTTGGTAGACTGACAGAAAAATTCCTTTAATAATATTTTGCTAGAGAAATTCTACTCCCTCTCCCCGCCTGGTCAAATACAACAAAGTTAATAATCACTAGCATACAGATCTCATTCGAAATTACCTTTTCATTCTAATTCAATTTTAATCTAAAGGTTTGTATGAACTATGCAAATTATAACACTTAAACATAGGGTAGGCAATAAGCCTAGTCCTTACCTACAGTGCTATCCGGTCAAAATTGTTTAAAGCATAATTTGTTTTATTAGGTATGTGACAGTTATGTGTAGCCAGGATTTTGAATTGGGGGAAACTAATTACGGTTTCGCTTGAATCGTGGGCGTTGACAGCAGCATCCGCTTAGTAGAGTTTCAAGCAAAGAAAATAATTATACTTATATAAACCATGTTAAACTTATTGGGTCTATTTTCAGCCATAATGCTCCATCTTAGTACGTTATCATGGGTTTCAACGACGACGTTCTTTCAAAAGTGGAATAAATACCCGAAAATGTACTTAATACTAGAGTCGTAAAATACTATACATAAATACTCATAAAAATGGCGGGAGCTGTAGCACTCTTAGCCCCCTTCTTAGATACTTCAACTGGTGACGATGTTTAAATAAAATTTAGATTTTATTACTTTGGCCTGTAAGTTTTTCAGTTAACTGATCGCATCGTTTTTTTTTTTTTTTTTTTTTTTTTTTTTGTCCCGAAATCATTGGAAAATTATATTATTGTGTTTCCATGTGTGATACACAATTCATAATAATTATGGTTTTGTAACCGGTGTTTATTTTCATCACGGTCGTTATGTAAAAGTGGGAGAAACATTACGAGAAATAAATACCAACAAACAGACATTACTACAGCTTTAAAATGTTCACTGTATGAATTTACCGACTGTTATGGGTGCAATTTTCGTTTAATGTTTCCGTCGTTATTGCCGCATCTAGTCAAATAAACGCTGTATATTCCAATTAAACCGATACGCACTGACCTTCAATAAATACGATACTGCACATAAATTACAATAAACTACGGACATTTCTGCAGTAGTTTTAACCCAAAAATGCACAGTGTCAAAATAATAATAATAATAAAATGGCGAATACCTAAAATAAAATATAATTTATGAAAACGTGCGCTAAATATTTTTCCGTCGATATTGATCACATTGTATTTATATAAATGCATAGTACTTTTATTATTTTCTGTAGATTTGTGTAGTACCCGTGTGTGTGTTATTTCGCGGAAAACAATTCTTCACGGGGCTTAATGTATCAATGATAATGTATCAATCGCGCCGGAAATCGCGGGCAAAAGAAGAAAAATTATAAGATGGAAAAAATGTGTAGGTACCTACATTAACTGCGCCGATCAATATTCGAATAGAAAAATTGTTGTACGTCAATTGCGCCGATCGATAACCCGTGTTGTAATCTAATAAGTAATATCTCAAAGAATAATTTTTTGTAGGATTTATCGTACATATACAAATATTAATCGTAGTGTTGTTCCGAGCGTTATACAATATAATCGTCGTGATTCCTGTTCTTGAAAGTAATTTTTAAGTGAACGAATATACAATACTCTATACTCGAATAGTTTTAAAGTTAAATAAATTAACAGAAAAAAAACATTAGTATTCGAACATGTTACTACTTTTATTTACCTCTGTCTACATACATTCATATAGTGCAAACTTTTTGACTTTTAATTACATTTTTATATGTTTTTACGACCAGAGTATGGTACAGTAGGTAGTAATGGCCGTTGAGTGTTTGTTTGGCGTCAGCAACAGATATATAATTTTAAAATCTGGCCGGTCGAAATTTCTCAATTCGGTCCTGCCTGTTGGCATTCAGCATATACAATATACATACTCTCGACAAAAGTATATTATGTCGAGAACGGCGCCTGTGGCTGAAAATCTTAGTGGATAACGAGGGGTGGTCTGTGCTTAAATACTGTCATGTTTGTGTCTATGTACATATATATATTATGTTTTTAGGGAAACCTCTAAAAATATAAATTTAATTTGTAGTGCTCGACCGCGCCTAATGGCATTTAAAGTGTGTAAACTTTGTACTAGAGGCCTGGAGAAGTGTATTGAAACTGCAATCATTTCTGCAACCACGATGACTTACCGAATAAACGTTACAATAAATCGTTTACGCAAAATTTTATTTTCATAATTAAAAAAAAAAAAAAATTATATTATTAGGTAGGTACGTATGTAATGCACGACACACTAAACCTATATGAATGACAAATAATACCGATTTATTCGGGCTGAGTAAAAGTTATATCAATGGAATTGATATATATATATGTATGTATTATAATGATAACCGAAACGATACTATCCTATATCTGTGAAAAACATCGCACCTGGGTTAGCCACTGTTGTAGGTGGGAAGTTGGGAAGATAGGATACAGACGAGGATTTGACGAAGAATGATTATATTTAAAAAAAAATAAAAAACAGGACAAAATAATTTCAGTAATGCATTAAAAATAATATTTTATTAATTATTATACTTTTTTTTTTTTTTTGTTGATTTTTCATTATTATGTTTATATTATTATGTATATTATATAATGTGTATTATATACACATAATAATATAACATAATATACTGTATATTATCTATAATATCAATATTTGTGTATATATTACATATTGCATTTTAAATGTACACTGTACGTCTATTATCTTAGATGTATTATCATCGGTATCGATTCTCGTGGTTATTATTTTCATGAATTCAATCGAAATCACTGTCGTAATATACAAAGAATATTTATGTCAACTAATTTATTCGTATTAAATTGTATGTTGAAACTATAAAATATTTATGTCTAATTAAATAAAAAAAAAGAATTAATATGAAATAATTGGCACTAAGGTGCCAATTATTTCACATAACAGGGCACTAAGCTTAAAAAATAGACAATCTTGCATAAAACAGGACGTATGGTCATCCTAATTTAATGTATATCTGTAAAAACCGAAAAACAATTGCTAACGAAAAAACGATTTCGATCGTTTTTTTTTATATTCTATTAATCCGTGGAAAACCGATGTTATCTAGGAAATAACATGTGATTTCACACGGAATATTAGAATTTAAAATGGCTGTTACTTAGAAACTATTCATCGGATATAAATGTGTGATACATTTAAATTTGCAGAAAAATAATTTCTACAGAATGGCTATCTTAAAATTTCCCGAAAATAATAAAATAGTTTTTTAATTTTTTTAATAAAAAAAAAAAAAAAAAAAAAATCAAAATTTGATTATCTTCGGAGATGTTCAAGGGGTAAATCTTCATGGACAGCCTGTGCATATAACTATATAACACACCATGGAAGTATCAAAGATGCAGTGATTTGTATCTACTATTGAAATGAAAATTGAACGACAAATACAAATGGGAATGAAATCGCAAACCAATATGAGAACTGATATCGAGAAAGAGAGGATATCTCTATTTGGTTTTTAAAATGGAGTAACCTATGCTAACTTACCGTAGGATCGACCAGTGCTGTCACCTTGGGGCGTACAGTTTTTCGGAAGCTTACACGTGTGATAGGAATGCTAGTGGTTGTCAAGTATTTGGTAGAAAAATTATCATCAAAATTGAATTACGTTTATAGTGCACGTAAATCAGGCCTAATTGATAGTTATTCACGTCAATTTAATTGACCCGTATCCATGTGTCATCCGCAGTGCCATACCGATAAAGTTGATAACAATATAACCGTATACCATTGATGAAATATATGTGGTATATTTAATACTAATATTTGACCATACTGAATGATCTGAACTACCTAGCACGCATACAAAATTATTTCATATTTTCATCGAAATGTGTGAGATACGAAAAAAATAATAATAATAATACCTATATATTGTTCCAGCGTCTTACGTAATATATAGGCTGTTGCACGGTAATGTGATGTAAATTTGAATTTACGTAATTTAAAATTTTTTTAATGATATAAGATATGGTTGGGTTCGTGATTTTGAAAAAAAAAAACAAACAATCATTACTACTGTTTCAGCATTATTTGTAGCGACAGAGAGTATAATTTCTGTTCTCCGTTATGTAGATGGCGAAAACGAATTCCGCACCGGAGAACTTTAATGTGTGGCTACACTACTGGTTTTTAAACAACACGGTATCTGGTTTAACATGTAATAATAATCTACAAGCCGGCAATAACCGAAATTCGGTTTTTACGTTCGCCACACAATCGTGTGCCGGTAATCATTATAATTACAAGTTATCGTATTATAATATTGTTATTTACCTACACATTATTGTTTTTAATAGATACTATTGTTTTATGAACGGTATGTGGGAACATTAAGTGCACATAGTATTTGAATACGACATAAGTATACAGTAACGATTGATTATTTAGAAGGTTATTAATAATTGTCCGTAGTTGTGTATTTATTGCGTCGGTATATAATGGAATAAAAACACGCTCGATTGCATTCTGCTGTAAGCATTTTCAACCGAGCGAACTCTGAAATCAAACATAGTTTTCTGTAATATTTTATCGAAGTAAAATGGAAAATATACGTAAAGCAAACACTGCGATTGCAATTATTATTCTAATGGTTTTGTCGGTGGGACAGTCGTATGTAAGTACCACGGGTTATTTTTATTTCGCGGCCATTTCGTCTTTCATCCCGTGTGGGTAAATCAAACTTATGCTTGAAATTATCGTAATATCACGTCCCACAACTCACAATCCATCACCGTGTTTTCATTCAATCCGTATACCCTTTAGTAACATATCTTCTATTATAACCTCAAACCGCTTTTACTTCGGCCTATCGATTCCCCGACTTCCATCTGTACTCTACTCAAATCATCCTTTCTCTTTCTCTCATCTACTCCATGATACTTATCGTCTAAATCTATTATCTTGAATTTTTTTTTCTCCTGTTCTATTATAAATATATATTCACTCATAATCCTATATTTCAGGCATGCGGTTTACACCGTACATCAACCTTACAATTCACATTCCTGTTGGTTTATTTTTTTATTTCATCGCTCCATCCAATTCTCACACATCGTCGATGGCCCGAGTTATATAACATTTCGCTTTAATCATTGCTAGCATATTCATATCGCACTAAATTGCTGTTGTTTTCCTCCACTTCATTCTGCTACACCTAATTTTACAAACACTTACACCACTGAACCTAAATGTATACTTTAACTAATCGACTCAATTTTCATTTCAATCTCTGAACCATACTCCGTGACAACAACTTATCTACTTTTATACCTCTGTACGTCACTTCTAAATCTAAACTCGATTAATTGTCTCTTAATCCTACTAATTCTTGTCGTTAAATATTATTCGTTTAATTTACATTATATTTTATTTAAGCCACGGTCACATCCCGGCGAAATTGAAGACATGAAAGTAGCGTTATATTCTGCGTGTTCTAAAAAATTCCCAATAACGGAAGGTAAGTAATCTTTTTGTTTTATAAATCAAATTAAAGACAAGATAGATGTTCATGTATTTACTTCACATGCATTTATTCTTTTTCAGAAATGAAGGCTAATGCGAAAAACGGTATATTTTCAGAAGATCGTGGGTTTAAAGTAAGAGATACATAACATAGTGTTAGGTACATAACTTATACGGCTATAATATATTAATAATTTCCGGAAAATTGTAAAGAATTACTAATATTATTCGTAAATCTTATTCATTATCCGTTTGAATAATTTATTCAAACGGTTGGATATTTTAATGTTTGAATTTACTATAATTTATACTTAATCATATCGTATGAAACAAATATCAATTTTATAATATTAAATAAAACGTTAAATTTCAAATGCACGGTAATCAATTGAGCAATTATTTAATTTGAATGATTACAATAGTTAAATAATAATACGTACTTATCAAAACAAATTTCTTATCGTTTCTTGTCTAAACATATGACATTTTGAAGACACTTTTTTGAACTAAAGAACTAGATACATGTTAACTATGTTATTTACAGTTCCAATTTTAAAAATTTCAAATTAAGTCAAATTTTAGATTCTAAGCACAGCTATGATGTATTGATTCTACTAAGATGTGTAATTATTTTTTGTTATAATTGCCTTTAAACAATTTTTTCCGTCTGAAATTTTGTTCCAATATTAACTTGTAGTATCTTTACTAAAAATTAATTTTGTCAATTTGGTGCATTAAAGAAATTTCTTATTTATCCTTTTAGTTTTCTTAATAATTGGAAAAAACTTAGGGAAAACCGGAAAGTTTACGTCAATAATGGTTTCGTTATTTTCGATTTTATTTTTTCGTGGTAATTTAGTAGAAAAAGAATCATAGAGATTATGATATTTTGAGCAAATTTTAGGCATTTGAATTATTCGAGTTTTTTTAGTTTTAGTTTTGTTTTTTATATGGTGAGCTTCAGCAGGAACCGATATTGGCGGAAAATCGGTTATTGGTTTTATTTTTAAATAGATATCAGACCCGATTTTTTTGAATTATATTGAATCGGTTATCGGTTTTTAAATCAGTTTGGTTTTAATATGGATTATTGGAAATAATTTTTTTCGGCACACTATTAGTTTTTTGTGGATAAAATTATTTCCGTCTAACAGAGATACTTAAAAATTTTCCACGAAGTAAATCATACATCGTATTTGATAAGAAAAAAAAATTAAGCACAATAAAATATTTTTTTTACATGTGTTTTAAATTTAAGAGGTCAATGTTTGACTAAAATCATACAAATTAAGGTTTTTCGGTTATTATATAATTAAACGAAATTCGCTTAGAACAGTTTTTTGTTAGAAATTATTTATCGTTGCGAACAAATATAAATTCAAAAAAACTACAAGTATTCTATATTCTCTCTTACAATAATGGCACATCCATGTCTCGTCAGCATTATCAATTTTTTTTTTATGTTGGGTTGTAAAAATTTAATTCAGAGCAAGTTAAAAATTATAAAATAATAATATTTTCACTGAATTAAGTTTATCTTTAAGTATTAAAACTCTGTATTGTTCTTTGGTACGCTCTATTTTAGAGTATGGATCAATTATATGGGACCCCCATACCGTTGACGGGATCAATCAGCTGGAAAGGGTACAACGCAAAATTTTTAAACTTTACTAAATTTGTCTTTCATATTGAATGACTTCATGATTATGCATCTGTTTCTGAATTACTAGGTCTAAGTCTTGTTTCTAAACGTAGGGTTCACATTGTTTGCGCTTTTTACGGAACTTAATAAACGGTTATGTTGATTCCCCTCTATTACTCTCTGGAATTAACTTTTGTGTTCCATCACATGCAACACGATCTACGATTAATTTCTGTGTTCTTAATTACAGCACCAACTATGCCAGATCTAGTCCTCTAAACAAACTAATTACTCTTGGTAATGAGAACCTCTTATATCTTTAATTATTTTAATTTTTATATTTGTATATTCCACTAATTTATGTAATTCTTTACATGATCAATTTTATTTATTTTGCATCTTTATTTTTAATTCTCTGCCATACGTGGTGAGTTTATCTCGTTATAAATAATAAATAAATGAATACATTTTAAATAGTAAATTACACTATACGTGAACATTTATTATTTGCATTAAATAACATAACATTATAATAATTTAATATATTTATATTGTGCATTTGAAATATTTTTTACAGTGCTTCGTCATGTGCGTGTTTGAAGAGGTTTCATTAGTAAGAATAAAACGAACTTAAAATAATCATTACAAACATAAAATTAACTCTCATAAATATAATTTTTATTAAACAGATAGATGATGAGGGTAACATTGATGAATCGAGTTTGATAGCGATGGCCGATGGTGATATGAAGCCGCTAATAGAAGATGCTGCAAAAACTTGTTTACCAAATATAGGTTAGTAATATTTTAACGCGGTTTTTTTTTTACCATTTAACGAACAATTATAGTTTTATTGACAACACATCGCAAGTTTAAACATTGATCCGTAATTGGTATTTTATTTTTATTTTTTTACAGACAAAACATGTATTAGGTTCTGAATGGAGCGGGGAATGTATTTGTTTTACTTCTACAATGATGATTTATGATTTGTTTTTTTTGTGAATAGCTTTTCTACCAGCAATAATACTCCGATTTATAATTGCAGCACTTTTTCTGAAATGAAATCTGTCTTAGGTAGTACTTCAGGGAGGTATTATTTTTAGTTTTCCGGCTATTTTCATAACAAATAAGAAAAACCAGGAAAAAACATGGGAAAATCAGGGAAAAATAGATACAACATTAAAGAAAATGATTAATGTATATAAAATTATTTTACAATAACATGACATAATATAATGTATTACTGATAAAGCAACTCTATCAACTGAACTCCACTCAGAATCGTTTTTTCGTTCACAATAGTTAATCGCTCTGTACACATATATTCATTGAATTTCCGTCATTATCCTAAATTTCCAACCTTCTACCTATATCAATAGCTGCATCCGTCCCCATTATCCTAGGACAGAATTTTTTTATAATAAAATGGTAATTGAAATTGGAAGCCGTTCTGTAGGTATCTTTTTGCCGGTTTTCTTCCTTATTTTGTGCTATGTCTAGTGACATTGACGATTTTTACCGAATTCGGTGTTTTACCGCGTCTTTGTAATTTTTGTGAAATGTTTCAACTATTAGTGCTACTTCTGTTTTATGACTAAATAGTTAAATCTTTGTGAGGTTTTTAATCCGATTATGGACTATTATTGGGCCCCGACATAAGTTCTTTAGGCCCAAATACGAGTTCTCACAGTGGAGTCCAATATTTTGAAAAAATAAGATGTATTATTTAATATCTTAGTAAATAAATAAATGAAAACTTCATATTTAACTTTAAGTGAACTACGGATACATTATTTTCCTTTTCGATAAAACATAATGTTTACTTATTACCTCTTCAAATTAAAAAAAAACTATTTTTTATTTAATGTACAATACCAATATTAATTTCAATGTGTTTTCAATTATATAATATTTTACACACTGTTTTGTTTTATAGCTGGCAAGCCAGATTCTTGTGAAGTTGCTTTCAATTTCGTAGTCTGTAGTATGAATATCAATAAAAAACTTGTAAGTCACAAATAACTATATTATTATGATACAATAACCTAGGTAGTTATTTAAAATATATTTTCAAAATACACTTAACAATTTCTTATTCGAATTAAAAAATATATTACAACAAAAAGAACACCAAACAGCGAATTTTGGAAAACGATACATAGTGTATTGAAATCTCAGTCTTAATAATAAATGTGTTATGGGCAACAGTTTAACACTTAAGTCCAAGTAACTTATAAGTTATAACCAAATTGAAGTAAAAAATAAATGGACACGATTTTTTTAAGTATATTTTATTAAATAGGAAAAATATTTAAACACTTCGTTAATTTCGTGAAATAATCATGCGCGAAGGTGCTCATGGCAAATAGCGCCAGATTTGTCTGTAAAGGAGTCGCCTGAGGTCAGTATTTATACCCTGGACTCACCGGACTAGTTTTGCGTACTTTTCGATAAAAATATGTTGCATAACTGGGTGATAATATTCTTCGACAGCGTATGTGTATTTAGATTCTTGAACTCTTATAATCGTAATGCACAGAAACCTAAGATTAGAATACGCACATAGATGTCATAATTACATTTAATTAACTATCTAATAATTATAATATTTTGAATTTTATTTATTGCGTTTCCTTTGTGTATATAATGCGAAGGAAATTCTATAAGATATATCTGAGAATAAGCCTAGGTTAAAATGGATTTGAAAAAGCCAGTCCTCAGTATTCACCTAGATTTGCATTACCTCCAACATTGCTGTAGTATTATATTATATTATTATATTTATTAAAAGGAAATATATTGACTACTACGTGTATTATTATTTTTCTTATAATGATACACGAAACTATGTTTTTTTTTTTTATAGATTGAACTTCTGCCAGTTTAATCAAATTTGTACATTCAAAATAATATTTAGAAACAACCAAAACACAATGAAAAACATTATGTATCCAACATCAACAATAAAATAGTTGTAGAGCATTATACAATATAATTTGTTTTTTTTGTTTTGTTAAATAATAAAAAAGTAACAGAAATTGTATGTTTATCGCTTGTATTGCTTTCATATGCAGTGGTGTACTGAGGTACATGGGTACATGGGTACCGGTCCTCTTCAGAGCAAAGAGAAATCAATTAAAATGTTCCATGTCGTTAAGATGATGGTTTCCAAGTTGGGGGTAAATATAAGTATGATAAAGGAAAGATACCACACATTTATGAGAAACACATCATCATACAGAAAAATTAATTATTGATGGAATAGATTTTATAGCGATAGCTGTATCAGTATTATGCTATTAATATGAAACACGACGTTTATAATAAAAACAATGATATTGATATGGTCATTGATAGCAGTTGACGAAAACCTTATGCACCTTATTGTACATTGCGTTACAGATTTATTTTCTCGAGTAACATCTTCCTGATTTCAAATATCCCAGTCTTATTTTCCTGATTTATATGTTCCTTTATAGTTACATACCAGAATTTTGCTTTCCTGATTTTTATTTTTCCATTAATTTAAGTGCACTTGTGTGTATGGAAAAAGACGACAAAAAACTAACGTGGTCAAGACATTTGACATTCCTTTAAATACGTTATCTACGATATTGAAGAATAAAAGTAACATCGTTGTTACATCATTAAACAGCGGTAGGAAACGAAACAGTTAAGGTGATCATCGAAGAATAAAATGTTGTCTAGTACTATGGGTCAGGCAATGCAGAGGGCAAAATTTGCTGGTGACAAGCTGAGTGGCATCTTATTGAAAAAAAAAAAACCAAAATCATTCGCAAAGAGTTGGGTATCCCGTCTTTCTCAGCTAGTGATAAGTAATTAACAAATTTAAAGATATTTTTTGTTCCTCGGTATTATTTAAAAAAAAGGTATTTGGTGAAAGTTCTAGTGTTAATGACAACTTATGCTCAGAGTGACTTCGTAAACTTTCAATTTATTAAAAATTACGAACAACGAAACGTGTTCAATCCAGATGAAACCGCATTTTCTATGCATACAATTTTCACATATAAAGAGGAATAATGCTATGGAGGCAAAAAAAGTAAAGATAGATTAACAATTTTACTAGCAGTAAATATAGATGGCTCCGAATAGTTAACTCCACTCATCATAGGAAAAACTACTAAACCTAAGTGTTTTTTTTATGAGAATAAATTATTTTTCTTTAACTTATCGTTCAAACAAAAAAAGCTCGGATGACCACAGCATTATTTAATGAATAGTTGATCTCTATATTCAATCAATGCAGATATTAAGAAATAGAAACGCAAAATTCTACTGTTTTTAGACAACTGTATAGTTCACAAGCATCTCTTACTTTTAACTAATATAGAATTTTAATTGTTTTTTTCCAAACACCACATCAAAGTTACAACCGCTTGAGCATAACATTAATAAGAACTGTAAAACATTTTACCATAAATAAGTTGTAAAGAATGTTTTACAATTCATTTGAAAGTAAACAGACACCTAATATTAGTGCATTGACAGTAATATTAGTTAAAAAAGCGTGAAAAAAATGAATCGTTCTCAGAATTTACAATAGAAATTTAAGAAACTGAAAACGACCAATTAAATATTGGATCGATACAATGGAATTTCCTGACAAGTCAAAAAAATGTAACTTTCACTAATTACGTGATTTAATCTAAATTTAAGTGATACAAATTTTAATTATCTTCCTAATTTATGTTAAATTTTTACTTTTGTTAAGTTTATCGTTAATAAATTTTGTTGCGTTGTATAACGCAAATTTTGTACCTAATTTTGGTCTGAAACTATACTGATTTCTATACTTAGGTATTTGTTAATTTTAAAAAATAATTAATTATTCCAATATATATGTACCTATGCAATTTTCTAATGTATGTGCAATGCATTATTAATGTCAATCTTAAACTATATCTATCAAATAATCATACAAAATGTAATAATCGTGTTATAGTTAATTTCGAAACTGTTTTTTTTTCCAACGGTTAAAAATAAACTTCTTATAAAAATATTTTGTTGCCATAAAGAAACAGGAATTTTAGAATTAAATAACCGTAGACTTAAAATCATTTTTTTTTAAAACTAAGTGGCCTTACAATGAGTATAAAAATAATACGAGTGACCAATGTGGCGAGCCGATGACCAGAACACACGGAGCCTGCAATCAATTATTTTGCAATATTCTTGCTGTACGGGGGAAAATTTCGTCAGTAATGTAATAGTATTAAACATTTTCAGTTAAATTTTCTTGCACGCAGGTATCTGTTAGACAGTTACAAAGGAATACAAAGGATAATTTGATTATGTTACGCGGGCACGTTCACCACAAAGGAATCAAACATTATTATCTTCGTTCTAAATATTAAATTTCTGTGAAATTCAACACCATAAATAGTTTAAATTTCCCCGTTGAAATTGAATTAATATACGCGGAATACAACTTTGGCAGTGATGCTATATATTCAGCTGCTCAATGGCATATTTTAATTTCGTTGTTGATATGTTTAACGTTCACTGCTACGATACACCAGCATTACGTATATGACACGCAAAATATGCAGGTATACAATGTATAACATTGAGCCACACGCCGCATACCCATAGCCGACAAAAGATAAGAACGCCTTATTGTATACGCTATTTATTCGCGTTCGCGTGCGCAGGCGTTAAAATAATAATAACGTTTGTTCATAATACAGCACCACCACGCGTCATTTAGATTTCCTTGGCGAATGCCAGTCTTGTAGTATCGATGCACTGACCGTCCGGCCGAACGGTTTGCCCGTTATAACGAAGTAATATGCCGCCTAAATGTGGAAATAATTGTATTTCAGAACACCTATTAATATTATGATTTTAATAAGGAAACGTGTCTAAAATAAACGATAATCCACACAAATCATATTCAAAATATATCGCGCCATTCACCATAAACTTTGTCTGGACTCAACTAAAATACTCTGCGGGTAGTCAGTCACTCTGAGTTATTCACAATCGGTTTCTAATAAACCGCGGCAACACTGACAGATTCTAATTTTGTCAAATTTCAATTTTGATACTATACGGGTGTTCATTGTTAACACTTGAGTTTTGAACGATGTTGTTATTATTTATTATCGATTTTTCTTGCAGGTTTCCTGGGTTACTATGATTATTTGGCGACATTTTCTATAGAAATCGCGGAATTAACATTTTTTTTTACCCGGGTTATTTTCCCAGGTTAAAACTTCGAAGCTTTTAAGAATCTAGGGGAAAGGCAAAAATTGTCTATATTGTCCAAATTATTTGACTGTTTGTAGACTATACGGCGTAAGTGGCGACAATCAATTTTCGATATTTGAAAAGTGTTTTTACGATTTAACTTCCCTCTCTGACCACTATCTCCTTCCCCTGACGTCAAATTCGGTAAACACGGATACGAAAAGGGAGAACCTTCCGATTTAAAACCAACCTAATCGACCAACCCGGAAAAGCCGTCAAATGGCCATCGCCATCGTTTATACAGCAATGCTCCACTTAAGACAACCATTTCTAACAGCCACGTTAAGAGATCGTCCCCGTTCGCAAACGACATGTCTATTATAGTAATTATTGTCATGACACAGTCGAGAGGCGTAATGTGCCACGTTAACACGATTATATTATATCATCCGATACGACAGTGGCTGCTCGTAATCAAAACTGTCCCGAACACCGTAAACTGTCATCCATTAGACACACTGCATGGAGTGCAAGGTATTACCTAAAGTTATAATATAAATATACAATATTATAATAAAGTATAATGTCCACTAATTATTTATTACCGAGGATTTACAACTTAGTTTGTGCTTAAAAAAAGAACTGTTTTACTTTTACGTTAAACAGTATACATTTTCAGACTTACATTTAAAAATTAACCGCAAAATATTATTGATATCTTAAAATATGTCGATTGTTAATGGGAATTAAATTCGGGATAAAACCGAAATTTTTACAATGATAGTCAGCTGTATAGAAAATATCGAATCTATTCGAATATTCTACATTGTTTTATTATAACTCCATAATATAATCACACTAGCCGTACAAACATGTTTCTGTGTTTAAATCTTGCGGTGAATTGCACGTATGTACCTATGAGTGTAATCCAAGAGACACTATAACATAACAGCTGGTAAGTTTATTCAATAAATTTATAAATATAATGATAATATATTTCATCATGATATAATTAAGAAAAAATAAATATATTCAAAATAATTAAACATGATAAAAACCTCTCTAAAAAGAGAAGCTTGTGCTTGGAGTAGATAACTTCCTAAATGGAAAACTAAACAGTTATACAATATGAAACACTAATTACTATTAGTTAAAATGTAATACTTTAATATACGTTCGCTATGTATAAAATATATTTTCATTAGGTAGAAGAATAAATTATTTAATTTTTAATTTGTGTAAAACATGTTTTTGTTAATCCTCAATAACAATAATAAAACAAGCGAATTTGATCTATTTACAAATTTGTTGATTTTCCCAAGAGTTTTCTTAACAAATGTGAAAAACTAGGAAAACCGGGAAAATCTACGAAATAGGTACAAGTAAAAATATATTACGGCCTTTTTTAAGCCCGTGAACATTATTCCTGTCATCAATTTCGCTCCATATTACAATGATAGCAATTTTTCTAAAAGGAAATCGGACTGTGGAGGCACTTTAATGAGGTTCACATTTCGATTTTCCAGGAGCTTTTCCAATAAATAAGAAAAACAGTAAAATAGGTACAATACTAAACAAATAATATTAAAGAAACTATATAATGCATATGCAATTATTTTACCATAATATGATATATATATTGTTGACAAAGCAACACTTTTAACCAAAATTCATTCAGAATCGTTGTTCATTAGCAATGGTTAATCGTTGCTTACAGATATACATTAAATTACCTATAAAAATGACTGAACTTGTCTCTATTATCCTAGGTCAGCTTTTGAATTTTTTAAAACA